TTATATATAAAAAAATTGTTTACCTTTGATAAAAAAAGAAAGGTGTTGTTTAAATAAGGTGTCCACCTCAAACAACCAAATTTTGCGCCTTTAAACCATACCGGAAGATACTGATCCAGTGTTGAAAACCCCTATAATAGGCTCAATTTCTATTTATACCCCCTAATTATGAAATCTAAAGCTCCAAAATGGTGTAAATCAAGCAAATTTATAAACAATTCAAAATCTTGAAGATGAACTATTCAAATAATATGTTACAAGATATACTATATGTAGGACTTGATGTCTTCTTTTTTTCACATATGCATATATATTGAAATTGAGATGATCAATTGGAGGGTTTTTCAGTCGTAGGACAACCTGTTCTTCTGGGATTTGAGGTGCGCCTTAACTCTATAGTATAAAAATAAAAGACAGTCAATAATTCGTTGAGGTGACGTACAAGGAATTAGTGCCCAATCAAAGTTTAAAGAGCATTTGTCTGTAACTTTTAGTCCAATCAGACCATCTAATTAGACGTGTTATGCTTCTGTAGCAAAGGCAGCCCCATTTTTTATATTTTTTTTCTCTTTCCTATAAATTCCAGCCTAACACAAGCCTTCTATTGAAAGCAAAGGTTTGCCTTCTATTGGAAGCCAAGGTTAGATTTCAATCAATCGACAAATGAGAGACTTGCATGGTTCCGGAACGATCCAGCCAACGTACAAATGAGAATCGGGAGCCTACTTGGGCACTTATAGTCCGAGTCTCAAGTTGGCTCCTAGAAAAAAAATAAGAGAAATATAATAAATTAGAAAAAAAATCATCATCTAATTTTTTCTAACTATTTGAGGTCAGTTACTCATGTTCAATCCACAATTTTGTCCTAGTAAGAGCCATATTCTCAGTTAGAGACCATAAGTCACCATATTTTTTCACACTACTTCTATCCATATTCTCAGTCAGAGACCATAAGTCACCATATCTTTTCACATTACTTCTATCCATATTCTATGGATCATTCTTTTTACTCTTTTAGAGCTTTTCATTTGAACTAAATAACCTCTCCTAACTTGTGATGTTTTAAGTCAATGATGCACGTGACTAGACCACATAATCTTACTTTATTTTATTTTATCGCCTATTGAAGCTACACTAAGTTCCCTCAAATACATTCATTTCGAATTCTCTCCTAGTAGTAACATTCGTCTATCTCAACATCCTCATCCTAGCATGAACATATAATATTGGATAATGATTCATGATGGAGATGTGGCAAAAATTTTCTGCTTACTGTTAACCTAACACAATTTTCCTTCTTTCTAATCCAGGCTTATGACCAACAATAGTGGAGTTATTAAATTAGAAAAATATGATGAATCCAAATTTTGGATTCCAAACTAACTGAAATCCACCATTTTTCCATTGGATTTGAGTACAAATACAGCCCAAAACACAAATACATCCAAGAAGAAAACAAAATTTTCTTAAAGAAACAAAAAAAAAAGTAATGTTTGCTTTCTTTCCTTTTTTAAAAAAAAACGTTTCCTATAGAAGCCAAAAGCCATTGTACTCCCACAGGCGTAGAACGTCCAATTACTCTCTTGGATAAATTCCCACCTAGAACTAATTTTAATATTTCAAATTTTAGGAATGAAACCTTTTCAACCTATAAACTAGACTCAATAAAAAAAAAAATACTAATTGTACCATTTATGCATTTGAAAATAAATAATGTCTCTAGAATGAATTGAGACTATCCAATTTTTAAGTGGTGACATCTAAGTGTTAAAAAACTCAAATTTTAATTTTTTTTTTTTTTTGAGAATAAAGGTATTTTGACTGAGGGAGTGGTAATAAATTATGTTCCGAGGGAACATGGTATACGTGCTCTGTATAAAAAAATATTTTCAGTCTGCTACAGCATGTTTGTCATCATGCAATACATATTTTAATTGAAGTTGAGACTCTATCCAACAAAAGCCATAACAAAATAATGTAGCAAGCAAATGAATATTTGATTTTTGTTTAAAAATAAAAATAAAACTCGACAATTTTGACTCTAGATCTCTTCGAGACAGACTTTTTATAAAAGACAATTGTTGCATATTTGTTAGAAGGCTCCAATGTGGTGGATTTTTGCACAAATATCAAGAATTTAGGTTGAAAAAATTGGGAGAAAATAAAGAAATGACAGATCGAGGGTTTGAGCCTAAAAAAGTTCAGTTTTTTTTTCCTCTTAATATTGCCAATAATATATTTTCGTCCAAAAAGCTCTTTTAGAATTATTGTAGGTATGTGAGAGATGAATGATTTCTAACACAAGAAATAAATCAAAATATAAAATTTAATTCGATAAAGAAACAACCTATACGAGAACCAGCCGGGTTCAGCGCCAGCAAAAAGCATTGTTCAGAGTGCGCTTGGTTATTTTTGAAACGCGAGTCCCATCCCAACCCTCCTTCCCAAGCTCGACTCATGTTGGACTGATCAAATGCATGGTCTCATGTGGCAACGGACCCGGATCCGATCTAAGACATGAGGGCTAGACCCGATCCAAGTCTGGGTATGGGTTCAAAAAATGGATTTGGGGGGATTAGGCAGGGGTCCAAATCTTAAACCCAAATACTATTCAGGTCCGGGTCTGATTGGGTCCAAATTCCTAACTTTATTTTTGGGTCTGGATCCAGATCCAAATCCAGATCCTAATATATCTTTTTGGATCCAGGTTCAAATCCGGCCAGACACAAACCCGATCCCACCCAACCCAATGCCACCCCAAAATTGGTCTGGATCAATCATAGGATAGGTTATGAGTTCGTTCCTTGTTCAAATAAGTGCCAGACTCCCATTGAAGTAGGTAAAACAACAGTAGCATGTGCGGGCAGGAGTGGCTTCCTTGAGGACTCTAACAACAATACCTAGGTTATAGTTTAGACTTTTGAGGAAAATTTATTTAAATGGACGTAAGATCTACTGTATAAGATTTCCTTTAATATTTTATTGATATATTTTGTTTTAATTTCAAAATATCCATCAAAATATACATGAACAAAATAAGAATAGTTGAACAAAAGATAAAAGGTTAACTTATTGAAAAGTTAAGTGTATTTTGATTAAAAAAATTAATTTATAAGGCAAAAAATAAGTTTTATTCATGAAATCTCACTATGTACATGAAAGTAGAGATTTTGGATGCTAGGGTTGCTTGGTCATCACCGTTAAACCATTAATGGATTCCCTATAAAGAAGAAGATATTATCGTTAGAGTATTTTAAGACCTCAAATTTTGAGAACATAATTTAAAATGATGCAATCTATACTTCAAAAATAATGTCTTTAGATTGAATTGAAACTGTCCATTTTTTCAACGGTTAAATCTGATGTTTTAAAACTTGAAATCAAATTTTAGATCTGGATTTGTCAAACAAGGGAAAGTGATAATAGAAAAATATCGGTGGAATTAGGGGATTCCAAGGGTCGTAGACCCCAACTGCCCACCTATTGAACTGGATCCAAATCGACTAATACCCCTCTGAATCGCCGATTTTTAAAACCCTTTGTTAAATTGTGCTCGGTAACGAATCACCGCTTTTTAAAACCCTATGTTAAATCTTTGTTTTTGGGTAATTAAAAAAATGGCAATGGAGATTTGGGCTCCAACTTTTTGGTGAGAATGACCTCATCATAAAGCTCAAGAATACCACCGCCAAGACTCCATGCTATTCTCAAACCTTTTGTCTTAATAACTCAAAAACCAACTTCGTTTCTTAACCGGTGCTTTAAAACTCAAATCAAGAGGCGGGATCAGTCACCCATTGGACGGATCAAATTGCCAGTTCGAGGCACAAAATATTGATTCTTCTACGTGAGAATCAGTCCAAAATAACTAAATAATAATAATTATTTTTTTAAAAAAATAAAATTTAAAATAGTGTAAAAATAAATAATATAAGTGGGAACGAGGCGATTCGGCCAATCCAAATCACCTCGTTCCTTAAACATATTCAATTGTTTGTCTAACAAAATTATGTGAGTCTATCAAAATCGGAACGATTGTTTTTAAAACACTACTTGAAAGTAAAATAAAAATGAAAAGTGTTTGATGAGTTGGCCAACTTACACTATTTTTGTGTGGATTCCCTACAAAATACATATCAAAGACATATTTTGTCAAAAATTTTAGAGTTCAATTATCTCAACTATGACAATGCGACTCCAAATCACCTGGTTCCTCGACAGATTCGATTGATTCTCTAACAAAATTAGGTGAGTCTATCAAAATCGGATAACTTCTATGTTGGTCCCAACCAACCGATTGATATTTTTCAAACCACTACTCGCAAGTAAAATGAAAAGGAAAAGTGTTTGGTGAGTAAGCAAACACACACTAATTTTGTAGCGTTCCCTTGATGTATGTTTTATCCAAAATTTTAGAGTTCAAATATCTCAACTATGACAATGATCTAAATTAACAATTTTTTTTTTTCAAAAAATATAAATATTATCTTTCAAAATCCTTTCTTCACCGTCGTCTTAGAGATGGATGTTAGATAGACAAGGGACCAAACTGAGTCGAGTGTTTCACCAAAACCGTATCTAAATGAAAATATCCATCACGAGATTACAAAATAAATGCAAAAATTTCAAAAACCTAGAAAATCCTCAAGAGCATCTCTTTATTCCCGCGGGAGTACGCGCTTACTATTAAATGTTAACGCATGCATCTTATTTATGAGAATTGAGAAGAAAATGTTATTCTTAGTCACTAATAAAATTTGAGGCTGCCCCGGTCAATGGGGATTATCCTCCGCGTATCCAAAAGGAGACATTTTCCTGATTAATGGCTATTTAAATTTTAAAATCTGAAACCCTTATAGGACAAGAAAAAAAAAAAAACCAGAATAAGTTGCAGAAAAAAGAACAGAGATCTTGTGGACGTGTCTTGCAGCGAAAATCAACGGCCCTGATCTTCTTTATTTCTCTTTCCCCTTATTTTGCTCCGTTAGGTGATCTCTTTCTCCTTCATCTGATGAAAAAAATGATCATTATCTTAAATATTTATTGTTTTTGATGAGTTTCTTCTATTTATTTATGCATTTTATGGAGCATAATTTTCTTTACATTTTGTCAAAATAATCATTATTTAAATCTCAGAACGCAGATCACTGGCAAGGATTTTTTGCACGTTTTTAGAATCACAATTTTTGCTTTTCCTAGGCATGTTATGGGGTGGTTTCTTTTTGTTAATTTTCTGCATTGTTTTGTATTTCATTCTTGTCAGTTTTCAATTCGAAATCTCTCTCTCTCCCTCTCCCTCTCCCTCTCCCATAAAGTTCAATAGTCAAATGCAATGAATATGTTCCATTACATATCCAAAGAAAAAATGGGTTCCGCCATTAAAAGTTTAAGCTATTAGCTGCCCCCATTTAGTCTAAATTCTCATCTTCCAATCTTTTCCTTCATTTTTTTTAAGGGTTTGGTATGTTCATTCCCTATTGTATTTAGATTTCTCTTGTTTCTTTTTGGGAAATTACTGTCTTTGTGAATTTAACAAGTATTCAATCCTATTTTCTGGGTTTTTTTTTTTTTCTTTTCTTATGTTATATAGTTTCTATATTATCAAATTCAAATACTCTAGTCATTTGACTGTTTCTTAATTTTATCCTTTTCTTCCCCAAATTCAATAGGTTAGGGCAACTATTATATATAAGTTATTAATTTCTTGTGCCTTTTTCTTCCTGGAACTCAACAGGCTCATCCACCATTACTTGATTTATTCATAACTATAGTAACTGTTATTTATTTATTTATTTTTTTTTTTAGGGCTTAATTCATGGCTGACACTGGTAGTCCTGGTAGCCCTGAGAGCCCCCATTCAAGCGAACATACTTCTCAATCCAATGTAAGAGATCAGGACCGATATCTTCCGATCGCAAACATCAGTCGAATAATGAAGAAGGTTATACCGGCTAATGGAAAGATTGCGAAAGATGCCAAGGAGACTGTCCAAGAATGTGTATCAGAATTCATTAGTTTCATTACTAGCGAGTAAGTGAATTCATTCATATTTGTTCGCTTCATGTTCTTTTTGTTCTTTTTAATAGGGATTCATGTGTTCTTGTTGTAGTATTCATGTATTATTTCAATTCATTGTTTTTTAATAGGTATTTATGGTTGTGCTTGGCTTGGTTTTATTTTCTTATTTGTTAATTCATTGGGGTTCCTTTGTTTTTTTTGAAATTTAGTGGTTCTTTCGTTTCTTTTCAAATTTTATGGGGCTTTACTTTTGGATTAGTCTCCTATGTTTTTGGGTTATGTGGGTCTGGGTTTGTTTCTTTACTGAATTGTTTTTTACCCTGTTTGTTTTTACAGATATTCATTGTTTATTTTTGTGGTTTTTGTCTCTTGGGATTGTATATTAAAATTAAATTTGTGTTTCGTGATACAGGGCAAGTGATAAGTGCCAAAGAGAAAAGAGGAAGACCATTAACGGTGATGATCTTTTATGGGCAATGGGCACATTGGGGTTTGAGGATTACATTGATCCACTTAAGATCTATTTACAGATCTATAGAGAGGTATGCTTTTTTCACAAATTCGGTCTAGAATTTGTGTTCCATTGGTGGGAATGGCAAAGACATACATTTTCTAAAACCCCCAAATTTCAATAGGACCTTTATGAGTTTGTAAGAATGGAAGTGTGTCTATGCTAGATTTTCAATGACACTTGATTCTTGTTTACATATTTTCTGGAGTTCTCAATATGGGTTTTCTGATTGATTAGAAGGACCATTAGGTTTATGTTTTGGTGTTGCATTTGATTCATGGCAATTGTAATTAATGTCTCAATAGTCTATAGAAAAAGAAAAGGAAAATGCTACAAGTGAATTGAGAAATTCAAGAGTGGTTAAAAGTAATTTGATATTGTAGGATTGTGGCCATATATTTTGCAGAATTGAACCTTACCATTTCTGAAAATAGGCTTTGAAAGAAATGTCAAGAATCTTGGACTAGTTGCATGACTATTTGCTAAGATTAACTACTAATTTCTGAAAATAATCTTCTTGCTTCTCCGTGAAATTTATCCAAGTAATGTGCGCCAATCATCAGTGGGTTTAAAACTTTCCAAGTGACTGGGAATGGCACCCACCCTTATAATATAGGCAGGACCATAGGACTTGATCACTATTATGAATAGACTGTATGGAGTGCTTGTCATCTAATAAAGTTTTATTACTTTGAGTTTTATGTTCTTGAGCCTCACCTATAATCTTTATGTACATTAGGACAAAGTTTGATGGTCCGAGGTTAACTCTAGAAATGGTCATGTAGAACTAAAGTTCAATTGTTTAGAAGTTCTTAGAGTGGAATATGCTAATGCTTATTCTACTACCTGTCTTCATGGGCTTTCTCTTGTTTGCGTCTTGGCCAATAAGTTTCTTGGCCAATAAGTTTGTTAGTTTATATGCAGTTGAAATCTGTGGTAAACCTCTCTTTCAACTTAAAGAGATGTATATGTTGACACTTAACAATCACGAGTATGTTTAACATAATGGTCTTATTCAAAAGGTATTGGGGATTTTAATAAAAGTTGGGATGTTCTTTCACAGTCACAAGGATTTTGGTGTTTTAGTCATTTTCCAGAAGAAATAAATGATTGTTGAATAGTATAACTATTATCTTCTATTTTACTTCTGAGGAACTAATCATAGTTTGTCTTTTTGTTTTGTTGGTGTAACTTTTTTCGATGGGATTTCAGATGGAGGTATGTGTTTCCATTTATTTCTTAGATATGTTTCCTAGAGATAACTTGTGCGTGTTATTAAGGTTTGTCCTTTTGATGGACAAAGCAATCTTATTTTCCTTATTTCGTAGTTTGGGGTTCTCTATTTCTGTAGGGGGACACTAAGGGTTCTTCGAAAGCTGGGGAGCAGTCTGGGAAGAAAGACAATGTTGGAGTGCCAACAGGTTCAAACATTCCGGTAAAGACCAATTTTGTGTATTACATTGTAATGATAGTACTTCGTATTTATTCCTCATTTATTCTTGAATTAAATTTAATGGGATTGCTATCTGTGTATTTGTTGGATTGCAGCTTGGGTACCAGGGACAATATGACCCAGGAATGGATTATATAAACTCACAGGTATGTGGTGATTTCAATGTTCTGGTTCCTTTGTCTATTCTGAAGGTGAAGAAGCCCAAGAATGTCATGCATCAGATAAAACTGCAAAACAATGTCAAACTGTGGTTTTCTCATCCTAAATCAATTTTCTCTTAACCAATTGATTAAGAATGCAAGTAGTATCAGAAATTGATGTTGCCTAGGTATGACACAAGTGAAGTGCCTTTGGCATTTTTGGGAGGGAAAATGCATGGCTTCAACCATAGTGACCACTTGGTGCACCACCTGCCTTCTAAGTAGACAGCAATGACATTTACTTTCAAAACCTGTTGTTTTGTTGGAACCTTCTGTTTAGATTCTTTGACCCGTGTAATTTCGTCTGTGGATTTTAGAGCGAGCTTGACTCTCCGTATATAGATGTCTATAAGAGTTCAGTATAGACGATGATCCTAATGAACTTGGAATGTAGTTTAAGCAAAGTTGTTTTGCTCAGCTTCATAAATTGGGGATACAATGGGGCTGCACATAATAGGATGGACCTCTATCCAATGCTTGACCTTGGAGAAGCTATGCCTTTAATGTTTTCATTTTTGTCATACCCCACAAATTGCACTTTTTGCTTTTGATTTTGGTATTTGACTATTTGGAATGCTTACATAACATATGGAGTCGTGGACTTAAAAAACTGCGAAATATTCGATCTTATACATCACTGCCAATGAGAAACTTCATTTTCTTTGTGCTAATGGCACTTGATTATTTGATGACATGGTTCATGACTCCTTGGGAATATTCCTTTAAAAATTGAAGTTGTACGCCCTTTTGAGAAGTACCTCAACTTGCTCTTTGCTTCACCATATTGTTGAGCACTGTCTGCAAAAGTCATTTGCCTCCAAGTACAATTTACACAACATAACTTATGGAACTTATCTGACATATATTTTCCAGTTACTTGGTGTGAAGAGTGAAGTGTTGACTTGATGATTTATTTCTAAAGGAAAAATTAGATTTTTTTTATCAAAATTGAAAATTTTCAAGGCCATGGTAGTAGGGATGTTTCACCAAAATTCATGTGCTGTGTGTGTGTATGTGTGAACTGCGCATGAATGGGAAAGATGCACCTCATCCATAGCAAAATGTCTTTTCTGCTCTTGATCGGTGCTGTTATTACTACTATTTCTCGAAAGTCCATCCATTGGATCCGTTCTTCTATGGTCCTGTTGGAATCCGTCTCTGATAAGGAAAAATAACTCTCCAGTCCACTTCAAGGGCCCCCCTCATTGGTTCAACCACTAGTATGTCATAGATTTCCCATTTTCACAGGGTTTTTCCTAATTGCTCCACATAAACAGAGGCTACATCTCTACCAAGAGCCTGAAATACAAAATTTTACATTTCTTTCACTTTCATTGATCAATTTCACACACAGGATGAGGATTCTTGGTACTAAATTGAGAAGAGAGACCTTTAGAGAAAATGTGAACAGCCCTTTCTTAATGATATCCCTAATGCAGAGTGAACCAGTGGGGTTAATCCAATTCTCTTGATTACCTTAGATTCCATACCCATATATTGCCTTCGGAGTTCTTCACCAATTTCAAAACCAGTTTGACCATCCTTGGATATGCAATGTACCATCATATCTTTTTCTTTTTCCCCTTTTTTTCTCTGTTTGCCTGTGGGGGAGATTTTTTTGGGGGTGGGGGTGGGGGTGAGGGGTTTGGAGGTGGAGTGGTACATAAGCCAACTTTCCAGATTTAGAACGGCAGAAAGTTATGGATTTTTGAAATCCTCCCCACCCATGAACAGTACCTGATTTTAACTTTTTATGACTCTTTAATTCTATGTGGGGGTAATTTCTTTGTTTTCCAGAAAATAGTGCCTGTTTTTCTAAACGTTCTCTTGCAACAACCCCTAAATGACGGGTTTTGAAATCTTCTCCATTCCAAATTGGTTCAGCCTACTGTTGGAGTCCATCCTCAAGATCTCAAACTAGCTTTTATAGAAGTCCTTCATGCTTCTTCGGATAACCAATCTCTTAAGACATGCTGAACTTAAAGCTAGAAGTTCCCTAAGCTTAGCAACGTACCCAGAATTACCTAGTGTTGCTAGGCAGACTGCAATTATATCCAAGATCACAAGCAACAAAGGCCTGCACAAGACTCTATGAAAATGACAAACTTCATGAAAAGAAGAAGCTGTGCACCATTACACCCTACTTCATAAAAAGAGTAAATATATGTAGTCCTTACAAAACAATCCTAGATCATTGGATGTCACTATTCAAGAGCTTTATAATTTTCTTTATGGACCTGTAGATTTTGGCAGCATGAACTTTGAAAATACGAAATATTTAACCTTGAATAATAGATGGGGATTTCTAGTGTTCATTTATTTGCTCTGGGACTCTTCATTTATATGCTGTCATAGCTTTGGAAATTCTTCATTTACTAACGATTAAACTCTTAACCTTCGAAAAGTTCTTTGAGAGTTTGACATCTGTAACACCTGAGGATTTTCTAGAGGATGTACTTTTACTAGGCCTAGGTGGATAAATTACCTATAAACAGTGTTCCAAAAAACACCAGGCAAATGCCTAGGTGGCCGGGGGGTCTTGGCCACCCAGCCCCAAAGCAGCTGCCCAGAACTTGGGCAGCCTAGGACCTAGGTTGAAGAATAGGGGCATGGGGCAAGGGAATATGAATATACATCTAAAAATAATAAAAACCCCATAATCCAAAAATTCCAAACCATTTTTATATTTGTAATAGATAGACTACTAGAACAAAAAAAAATATAATATAATAGTAATCAACAAATTAGTAATACAAGCAAAATCCATAATCCATACTCCATAGATCATACTCCATCCTCCATATTTCATATCATTCCATAATCCCTATTTCTATACAATGACAACCATACAAACATACGTCAAGTGTCTTCAATAATCATAAAAAAAGTAGGGTAAGCCTCATCATATGCATCAGATTCGAGGCCATCATTATCAATGTCATCTCCCTCTTCAACATAATGCTCTTCGTCCTTTGTGTCTTCTGAATCTTCCTCTTCCTCTTCCTCTTCAACCTCCCACTTATTCTATACAGATAAGGCCATAGGAGTCTTGGCCGCTCTACCTGGTGCCTCTTCACCCTTTTCTTGCTTTTTGTGTTTCATTGAACTCAAGTATTGCTTAATCTCCTTCCTGGTAGCCTCAGAAATATTTTTACACAGGGCAACATCCCTCTTAATACCGGCAAAGTATATCTTGAATCGGTAAATACCCATTAGTACCCTTTCCACAATAATTACACCTTATACGATTTTTGTCATTCAGATTCGGATTATAATCATACTCCAATCCAGATCACCACTTGTAGATGAACCTGGAGAACCTTTTCTGATTTTACTAAATTCATATATTGTATAATCTCATCCTTAATAACTTCAAGAACCTTTTTACAAGAAACAATATTCTCTTTAATACCGGCATGGTGTTTCTTAAATCGCTTAATACCCCCTATTGGTATATTTTTTACAAAATTTACACCTTATGCATTTTTTATCGTTCAGTTTCAAGTTATAACTATGCTTCCAACCCGGATCACTACTTCTTGTTCTGGTTTCAACAACCAGATATAGACTTATCTAAATGACAAGGCTTTTGTTCCTGATTGTGTTTTACCGAACTCATATATTGCTTAATGTCCTCTCTGATAGCTTCAAGAATATTTTTACAAAGGGCAACATTCCCCATAATACCGGCAATGTGTTTTTTGAACCAGTTTATACCCCCATTATTATCTTTTTCGCAATAATTATATCTTATACAATTTCTGTCATTTGGATTTGGGTTATAACCATACTTCCAACTCGGACCACCACTTGTAGAAGAACCCGAAGAAGGCATTGAAATAATTAATAAATCTTAAATATGAATATTTTTAACTAATTTTACTGCTCGATCTTCAATCTTCAATGTTTAAGATGTTTCCTGATCTCAAATACTTCCCAAAAACCCTCTAATAAGCTTAAAAAATCATCAAAATCAAATCCAAACCAAAAGAAGATTTTTGGATCGATTTTCAAAAAACCCTAAAATACATGATCAATCTCTTAGAAAAGTACAAAAATGATTTTAAATTTTCTTTTCTACTCTAAAGGTAAACAAAAGGGTTTAGGGCACACAATAACCTAAACCTCCCCTTTTCTCTGCTGCCATTTCCGGCTGGGCAGGGCGCATCACCCAAGCCTAGGTGGGTTTCCTGAGCGGGTCGCCTAGGGACTCCCCACCCAGGACACCCGCTTAGGCGCTATGTAGGCTGCTTTTTTATTCACTGACTATAAAATTGCCCATAAGTGTGCACAGCTGATAATGGGGCCACCTAGCTTGAGTGACTCCAAGTCCATATCATTTTGAAGACTTTGGCAAAGGTGATAATGGATATTCTGGGGTGGTGGAAAAAATGTAAATAAAGCAATTTTTAATTATTGAAAAGAAGAGATGAATGGGGTTGAGGTCAAGGTGGTAGCACCACCTGTGACTTAATTACTGGTCTTGGTTTCCATTACTACCAATGTTAACCTCTTTCGAAAACTACTGACTGTTTCTTAAATTGCCAACCCATTCACTACTAACAGTTAACGTTAAAGGCTCACATAAAAGCTAAGGTTTCTAGACACCCATGTCCTTAAATTTATAAAAAAAAGTTGTTTTTGCTTCTGTTCTAGACTGTCTAACCTCTTCAATGCAGGCATGTAACATAAGTGTAAATGTATTTATGTTTCAGGTTGTAACTCTCTAATCCATGGCACTCAGTAAGATTCATAGCTCACTTCAATATGGCACATAAACTGTCATTATGTGCTTGTCAATTTTGTGTAGGTGACTTAGAATGTGAATTGGGTATTGTTGGTTAACTAAGAGAAATTCTTTGTCTTGAAGATAATTAGTTTGGTACAATGAATAAACTACTTATCATTTCCCTAGAGATCCATTTATAGTTTTGTATGTTAGTTTTATATAAACCTTCTTTCCACCATTCAAAATGTAAAATAAAAATAGAATATGCTGTCATGTCTATGCAACACAGAAGTTTTCTCATAGGAATTTGATACATTAAGGTAGTGTGAAGTGATTATGGCAGTGTTAAACTAGGTTTCCGTTCGCTGATTAAATGCATCCGTCTCGGAGTGATTTTGGTGGACATTATGGACGAGTCATAAACCACCACTACATCACACCTCCTCATATACTTATTCATTGCAAAATGCAGTGAATCCATTGTGATTTAGAAAGGAAGATAAATGTTTCTATCTTTTTATTCTTTTTTTCCTGATTAGTAGAAAGGACATTCTACATTCCTTATTTAGTTAGGGATTGTATTGGCTTTGAATTTACGGTGTACTTGATAATTGGATTGTTCATATTTAAGGCTGACCTTCCCATGCTCTCACAGATGAGTGCTAATACCCTCATCTATAGTAATTAATGATTCACCTTTTTATACAAAACTAAGCGGAGAATTTTCCATTCAGATATTCAGAAGCCAATGAGTAATTTTGGAGCAGCCTTCTTTCGAGGAATACAGTTTGACATCCTGGAACAGTCTTATAGCAATGATGCACTACATGTACTTACCTTTTACCAATTTTTAAACTTTTTAAAAGGCGATCCCATAATAGATAATCCCAAACTTTTCTTCTCACTCCACTCTATTTTTGGATCTTATCTTTTTACGTATTTCTCATTTCATTTTTTGGATCTATATGTATGGTTCGAAGCCACTTTGTCCAGGTATACACCAACATTGTGGCGAATTTTTTAGCTTGACTTTTGTCATTTTTTTTGTTAAATTCCACCCTCATCTGTGGCATAAACAAGCCTTGACATTGTCTTTAAGAGGTATCTTAATTTTATATACTATGTGGGAATACTGTAAGAAGCAATAAGGTAAATTGATGGACTTCCAATTTTGTCTGATTGTGACTAAAGTAGCATTGATGATAATCAACTATGTAAAAAACATGGGGTGGCCCTATTTTAATGAAGATGACTGTTATTTCCCGCATTTGGTTTGTTCATACTTGATATTGTGTTGATTGATCATGCTTTGATTTTTCTGCCATTTACAATTAATAAAAGCTATCCATTATTTTGGTTATTTTATTGGTGATCCAGGAGTTATTGGCAGTGAGAATTGCTATTGGTACCTACAATTTTCTATAAGCACTCATATGCATGGGTGGAATCTAGCCATCACTTTTTTTGCGATATTTCCACCCATGTTTTAAGTGAAAATATCAAATACAATAGGTGCAGAGCAATATCCTAGAAACTTGTGAGCTTTTAGATACTTTTATTTCTTTTGATGGGCAGCTTGGATTTTTTTCTTCTTTTTTTATAAGCTTGGGGGGAAGGGGGCGGGGGGGGGGGGAGGGGCAATTGTAAGACAGACATTTTGAAAATCAAATAGATCTATAATATATGAAAATCTTGAAAATGGGCGGTCACATACTATTGTGCAAGATGCAGTATTTCAAGGACTCAAAAATTTTTTTTTTTTTCATATTCATACATATCAATGTCGAGATGATCGATTAGAGGCCTTATTCAATATTAAAACTACATTTCCGTTAGATATTTGAGGTGCATATGTGATTCTATATTTTAAAATTGCAACTTTATATAAACTTTTCCATATATATATATATATATATATATATATATGGAAAAGAGTGGATTAGCCCACTAGGTCATATGAACATATGAGCCCAACGGTTCAGATTGAATTTGGGCCGATTTAACGATCACAGATGTCTGGTAGTGTTTGAATTTTATTTATTTTTCTACAGATTCAAATCACTTGAAATTTTAGGTGTCTATTCTACTCGTCAAGCTGCACTTAATAAAAATATAAAAAAAATTATTCGAAAAAAATGAAATGATCAAAATACCCCCCAAAATATTTTGGGGATATTTAGATCAGTTTATTTTATGTAAAATAATTTTTTTATATTTTTCGAAATTACACACTCCTAGAATTTCAAGTGATTTTGATTTGTAGAAAAAAAACTAAAATTCAAATACTACCAGACTTTCGTGATCGTCAGATCAGCTTAGATTCAATTTGAAACGTTGGGCTCATATGTTCATATGAGCTAGTGGGCTAATCCCATCTTTTCATATATACATAAGGACTTTCTAAAGTTAACAACCACTAAAATTACATACTTTCAAGTTAGAGAGCCTTGTGAACCATATTTTTATTTTTACTACCCCTATATTATTTGAAAACCAAAGAATATAGAATGACATTTTGGACTTTTTACTTGAAATTTAAAACTCTCTCACACGCCTTTTTATTCTTTCTTTCACTCTCCTTGTTGTCCCCCATCCTCTCTCTTTATCTCTCTCCTTTCCCTCCCCCATCATTGCTCTCTTTGACCGTAATTTCTCATATGGGATCAAGAGAGAGAAAGAGAGAAATAATAAGAAGGAAGACAACAAGGAGAGAGAAATAATAGGAAGGGGGGCAACAAAGAGAAAAAAATAATAGGAAGGGGGATAACAAGGAGAGAGAAATAATATGTAGGGGGATAACAAGGAGAGAGAAATAATAAAAAGAGAGATAAATAATAAATAATAGGAAGGGAGATAACAATGAGAGAGAAATAATAGAAAAGGGGATAACAATGAGAGATAAATAATAAATAATAGGAAGGAAGACAGAAATGACAGGGAAATAAGAAAGAGGACAACAAGAAGAGATAAATAGTAAGAAAGGGAATATGAAAGAGGACAGAAAGGAGAGAGAAATAATAAATAACAGGAAGGTGGAGAGCAAGGAGAGAGAATTAATAATAAGTAGGATTGCAAAGAGAGGGAAAAGAGAAATAATAGGAAGGAAGACAACGATGAGAGGGAAATAGGAAAGAGGACAACAATGAAAGGGAAATAGGAAAGAGGACAACAAGGAGAGATAAATAATAGGAAATGGAACAACAAGGAGAGATAAATAATAGGAAGAGGACAACAAGGAGAGAAATAATAGGAAGGGGGACAGCAAGAGAGAGAAATAATAAATAATAGGAAGGAGGACAACAAAGAGAGAGAAATAATAAATAATAGGAAGAAGGACAGTAAGGAGAGAGAAATAATAGGAAAGATGACTACAAAGAGAGGGAAAAGAAAAATAATAGGAAGGAGGACAACAATGGCAAGGAAATAATAGGAAACGAGACAGCAATGACAAGGAAATAATATGAAAGGGGACAGCAATGGGAAGGAAATAATATGAAGGGAGACAACAATGAGAGAGAAATAATAAATTATATGAAGGAGGACGCAAGGAGAGAGAAATAATAAGAAGGTGGACATTATGAGAAGGAAATAATAGGAAAGGGGATAGAAAGGAGAGAGAAATAATAAATTATAAGGAGCACAGCAAGGAGAGATAAATAATAGGAAGGTGGAAAGCAATGTAGGAGCAAGGAAAGAGAAATAATAGGAACGGGAACAGGAGAGAGAAATAATAGGAGCAAAGAGAGAGAAAAATAAGAACAATAAGAGCAAGGCGAGAGAAATAATAAGAAAGGGACATGAGAGAAAAATAATATGAAAGGGGCAGCAAGGAGAGAGAGCAAGGAAAGAGAAATAATAGGAAGGGGGACAAGAGAGAAAAATAATAGGAGCAAGGAGAGAAAAATAATAAGAAGGGGGACAGGAGAGAAAAATAATAAAAAAGGGGACAGGAGAGAGAAATAATAGAAAGGGAAATATGAGAGAAAAATAATAAGAATGGGCCCACAAGGAGAGAGAAATAATAGGAAGGGGACAAGGAGAGAGAAAGAGAGAAATAGTAAGAAGGGGGATAAAAGGGGAGAGAGAAATAATAGGAAGGAAACAAGGAGAGAGAAAGAGAGAAATAGTAAGAAGAGGAATAAAAGGAGAAGAAAGAAGATGAAGGAGACAACAATGAGAGAGAAAGAATAGGAATGAGCACAACAAAGAGCGAGAAGATGGGGGACATTAAGGAGAAAGAAAAATAGGAAGGAGACAATAATGACAGAGAAGATGGTGGACAACAAGGAGAGAGAAGATGGAGGACAAGGAGAGAAAAAATAAAGAGGACAACACGAAGAAAGATGATGGGGAACAACAAGGAGAGAAAATGAGAGATAAAGAGAGAGAGAGGATGGGGATAACAAGGAGGGATAAATAATAAGAATGCGAGTGTGAGACAGAAGAGATTTAAACTTTAAAATTCAAATTTTTACAAGTTTAAAAGTAAAAGGTCTTCAAGTAATATAGAGGCAGTAAAAGGAAAAATACAATTCACAAGGGTCTCTAACTTGAACCTATATAATTTGAGGTCCTATTAAC